AATTCTCCGATTTTTTTATCCTTGGCGGGATTATTCCAGTAGGGTTTCCATCCGGGCGGGCGGTGAGCCGCCCGCTTGCCGCCCGTTCGCCGCCCGTCTATAAAAGCGAGACATAATAATAATCGTTATAATAATAAATATAGATTTCTTTGTGTTTCAAAAAGTTTTTTTTTGAAAATTTGAAAAGAGGTGTATGGATCATGAAAACATGCGAATTTTCTTCAGAAATTTTTTTTCCAAAAACTTGGTTAATTTGTATTTGACAAGATGCCAAAGGTGTTTAGAGTATGGAAAACTGCTGAAAACAGCTTTTGAGCTCAAAAACAGGTCATATAAAAAACCAACAAAAAATAAAAAAAGAGTTTCGACTATGAAGGAGTCGAACCATAGAGTACCATTTCCCCATCCCGCCGCTTTACCACTGAACCATCCCACTGCTGTTTTCAATGGTTCTTCAAAGCGTATAAAAGAAATGAGGACGTGGAAGCGTTCACGTATGCATTTCAGTGCAAAATCTACTGAAAACTTCTGACCCAAATTTCTCGAGTTAGCGGAGGCCGCCGCAAAAACTGAGCATATATTTGAAAATGAAATTTCATCCTCTTTCGAATGATATAGGTCTCGTCCCATAACTCCACATCTTCTGTGAGTCATTCCCTAGTGAGGCTTAGACTACAAACTACAAAACTTTCCAAGCCTCAGTAATAACTTCAAATCACTGCAACTCGGCTCATTTCCGTTCGTTTTTCATGATTTTTGGCTAGAATTCAAGTATTAAGTGTTGAGAATTTTCCAATGAAGCTCTGAAAGACTACAAACCACAAAAAATGCCTATGCCTCAATAAAACTAAAATCCACCGTAACTCACTCTCAACCGTTTTTGCTGATTTTTGGCTTTAAATTTACATTTTTGAAAGGAAAATCATTTAAAAAAACCCACTATTGCTGAAACACAAAAGAACAGAATAGCATTTCCCGAGTCGACCGAACGAATGTGATTGCGAATTTTGTCTTGGAGAATTTTCAAATATTGGTTTATCATACCTGGAAATACTCTATTTTAAGAAGAAAAAAAGTGTAAAAAAAAGCCGAGAAAAAGCGAGAAGATGTGGTGGTGTTGGTAGCCATGGGACACTCCTCTCTTTCTCTGCGTCTCTCATTTCCCAGTACTCTTTCGACAGAGCTTCTATGAGAGGACACACGCCTTCTTCCACTCTTCTTCCATTTAATCCTAATCCCATCTGTCATACACTTTCTTTGTTTTCTCTGCCACACTCTCTTCAATCCGCACACTATTTCTCTGTTGTTTTGGGCTTCATCTTCATTGTTGTCCCCTCTATTCAGAGCCAGAATATGTATGACATTTTGATGAAATGGGAGGAACTCGGGTGGATGAATAAGAAAAAGAAATATAAGAAAAAGAGGAGTTTGATGACGTAGAAGCAATTTTTGGGGTTTTCAGAAATCAAATACTCAAAAAGATCTGAAAAATGCGAATTTTCCAAAATCAATTGACAGATTTTAAAATCCAGAAGTCTCCAAAACCAAGATAAATGCAAAATTTCTAAAAATTTTGAGCCAAAAATTACGACAAACGGACGAAAGATTAGAGACTACAAACTACAAGAGTTCGTGAGCCTCAGTAAGTGTTCAAAGTCATGCAGCTTGCTTCGATTTAGTCCCATTTTCATGATTTTTAAAACCTGAAATTTAAAAAAAATTTTAAAAAAACCAAAAAAAAGATTATTGTGCCAAGAGGAACCAAGGAATCCAGGATACCGTAAAACCTGTAATAGAAGGGCCCCATAACTTTGAGCCAATTCATCTCGGTTCCTGTGAAAGATATAAAAAAGTTGTCAACTGATAAAATGTTAGTGATATCATGATACAAATTGTGTTAGTAAGAAAAATCGGATTTTCATGAAGCTAAAATTCTGAATTTCGATTTTTAAAAAATTGTTTTAAATCCTAAAATTCTCTAAAATACTGAAAAACAATTTTTGGGGGTTTCAGAAAATAAAAAAAATAAAGCAATGTTTAAAAATTTTACGAAAATCTGCAAATTGAAAAAAAAGTTTTCAGCAAAATTGATTTTTTGAGAAATTTAAGAATTCTCAGTGAAAAAAGAATCGAGATTCAAAAAGATCCGAAAAATGCGGATTTTTGAAATTTTTGAAAATTCTCAAAACTCGAAGCCAAAAATCATCAAAAACGATGGAGAATGGCTTAACAACTTTTGTAGTTTGTAATCTCTAGGTATTTCAATATTCGCTGAATCCAAAAAATTCTGAAAATCTGAAAATTCTGAAAACTCATGCTATCATAAAACTGTTGAAAATTCTTAAAACTTGAAAAATCTTTTAACATTTAAGCATTTTTTTAAAATAAATCCTTGAAATTCTAACATCAGTGAAAATCTCGAAATTCCGATTACCGTAAACACTCTAATAGTACGTCACAGTAACCGTCAACTTTGAGCTCATATATCTAATTTCCTGTAAAAGATATCAAATATTGGTCAACTGATAAATTGTTTATCATAATATCACCAATATTTTATTAGTTGACCACTTCTTAGTATCTTTTACAGGAACCGAGATATGTGGGCTCAAAGCTGACGGTTTGGGTGGCGTTCAATTAGAGTGAATTCGATATTCTGAAAAATTTGCGAAAACTCAAAAATTTATAAAGTTCTTAAATATTGAAAAACCCCTTAAGACCTTAAATATCCTTTCATCCTTAAAAGTCCTATAAATTCCATCCCACAAGAAAAAAAACTTCATGACCACGAAAAGAAAAGTGACCCGAAATTCTAGAAAAATATAAATTGTTCATAAAAGAGAATTTCCTCAAAAGCCTTTTAACTTCACAAGGAATCCCAAACGGACTCTCTCCTCTTCTGAATTCTGAGTGAGAAATGGCAAACACGGATCTGTCAAAAGTGGTGTTCAATCCGTCGAAATCGTTCACATTTCAACCGGTCCAACGGAAACAACAGGCCTCTCTGGAGATCACGAACAACTCCACGAGTGCTGTTATGGTCAAATTCAAGAATACGAATCCTAGTGTCTTCTCGACGGTTCCAAAACTTCATAATTTGGGCATTGGAGAAAAGTTCACTTTCAAGTGCAACTTTCGAGGATTGGCCAAAGAGAAGTGCAAAAAGAATGATAGGTAACTCGATTTGTGTAAGAGATACAACAAAGTTGTTAACTAATAAAATGTGTAAAATTAAATTTTACACATTTTATTAGTTGATTACTTTTTGATAGCGTTATCAGGAGCAGAGATATAATCCTTTAAAAGAGGGTAGTCCTAACTATAAGGAGCGCGCGCCTTCTTCCTCTGTTGGCGCGCTTTTGGTTATCTCCGCTGCTAATGACGCTAGCAAAATGTGTAAAGTCAAATATTAAATATTTTATTAATTGATTGTTTTTTTAATAACATTATTAGGAGCGGAGATATGGTATCTCTAAATGAGCGCACCCCTGCTCTCTCTGTTGACGCGCCCTCAATGTTGTCGTAGATTTAACCTAGATTGTCATCGTTTGTGTTAAAGATACAAAATAGTTGTAAACAGACAAAATGTGTAGAATTTTATTACATATATTTTACTAGTTATACACTTTTTAGTAGCGTTATTAGGAGCAGAGATAGGGCCCGTCAAGAAAGGCGCGCCTCCACCCCCTGTGCGCGCTTAGGAACCCGATAGGTTTGACCTAGATTATCAAAGTTTCTGTAGACGATAGAAAAAAGTTGTTAACTAACAAAATGTGTAAAATTAAATTTTACACATTTCACTAGTTAAGCACTTTTTGATAACTTTCCTAGAAACTGAGATATGTTGAATCCAAAATTTTAGATACACCGTTGTCCTGATCGCTGTGTCCAAAAATGCAAATATGGAGAGAATCAAGGGAAAGGAGCACTCAACAGCTACTCTGAAGCACATGATCCATATTGTGTATCCAGGAGTGAATGACGAGAAAGAGAACCAACAACCAACTCAAAACGATGATGAGGAGGATAAGGATCGAAAGGGACGTATGAGAGCGAAGACCAAGGTCGAGGCACCGGCTGCACAGGTTAAGAAGGTAAGGGTGCTCCAGGGAGAATGTTCTAAAAATCGAAAAGTTTTCCAGGCCAAACTCATCTTCCTCACTCGCCCAGAGGAGGAATCTGTGTCCGACGAAGACGAGGGTGGTCCATCGCCGAAGAGTGATGCTCCACCACCTTCTGATGATATGATGACTACTCGTCCAGCTGGATTCTTCAATGGACAAGTGGCTTCGAATGGAGCTCCAGGAGGTGCTCCTGGAGATGATATGCGAACTACTCGTCCGGCTGGACAGTTTACTGGACAGGTTGAATCAGGAGCTCCTGCTGGTGGTGCTGCCGACCCGAAGAGCCTTGGAATGCTTACTACTCGTCCAGCTGGACAGTTTACTGGACAGCAAGTGGGCGGAGCTTCTGCTGATCCAAAGAGTGCTGGTATGATGACGACTCGCAACGCGGGAGCATTCAATGGTCAGGTGATGCCAAATCAAGGTGGAGAAGGTGGAGAGGCATTGAAGACGACGAAGCAGGCAGGAAGTTATGAGAATCCACAGCAGAAGAATAAATAGATTAAGAGAAGACTAATTGCCACTAATTGATTCCCTTTTTTAATTGAAATATAATGATATAAGTGATGAATAAAGAGTACTTAATTAATATTAATTTTTAAAATTTTTAGGTCTTGAAAAATTATCAGTTTTGTCAACTTTGAGCCCATATATCTCATTTCCTGTGAAAAATAACAAAAAACTGTAAACTGATAAAATATTTGTGATATTATGATAAACATTTTGTCAGTTTACAACTTATTGATATCTTTCAAAATAAGTGAGATATATGAGTTCAAAGTGGAACCTATAAAACCTTTGAATCTGAAAAATAAACTTTATTGGAGAATCAAGAAAAATCACTTTTATTGAAACTCAATTTTTTAAACAATTTTCAAATTTAACGGAATTGTCATCAAGGCGAATTGTCTGAAAATACCTGAACAACAAACTGCACAGCATAAAAAAGTACGAAAATTCTCCCAGGTTCAGAATCTAGTACAAAGTTTGGGCACTAGGATATAGTCTTAACGATAACTATATAACCCATCGCGGAAACTTTGGACCACACCACCTGCACATCAAACTCACCTATTCTAGGGAATATTTGAATATCGATTTATACTAGAATGGGAATATTCTGAAATTCTGAAAAAGGATAATTATGGTGAGTCGAGAGACGTATTGCTATCCACGCACCAAAAGTCACCCTACCTTCGCTTGCTTGGATCAATAATAAAAGTTCTAGAAATATTGGAATATGGTAGGAATAGGAATAAATAGTTCAAAGCAGACGGACTAAAAGCCTAGACCCTAATCCCCTTCATAAACTGCATTACTTTGCCTTTATTCACAAGGATTAGGTTCTAGGTCATGCCGGCCTTTTGGACAAGAAGATATTAGACAAGAGAATTCAACATATAACAGAAAAATGGTAGTCTCTCTCTCTCTCTCTCTCTCTCTCTCTCTCTCTCTCGAACTGGCTAGACACCAGATCGGGGCTCTCATGGTATGAAGGAAAACAAAACCCGGATTCGATGGTAGGCCATGAAGGCCTTTTGGACAAGATACCAGAAAAAGTCTCGAAGCTCAAAAACCAAAGGTGATGAGGCAATGAGGAGTTGAAAAATGTCTTCTTTCAACGTCATCAAAGCATCAATCACCTTCGATCGCTTGGAGTTAAGAATCTGAAAATTATGGAAAATTTTGACTAAATCAGATACGACAATAGACAAAAGGTAGGCTAATAAGCCCGCAGAGACACAAAGGTTTTGGAGTAGGAATCTTGGATCAACACTCCGAAAATCGATGTATCTGAACATGCAAATCGCCCTGAACAGTACCTGATAGGATAAGGAGCTGGCTATGCACCAGATCCGAGTTCTCCGCCTTCTTTTTACCATCGATCTGACATGGTAAGAACAAGAGGAAGCCTCGGATCCGATGGTCAGCTGTTTGTAAAAATTAGGAATAGATAATATGGTCGATTTTCAAATGCTATGCTTCATAGTAGTTGTAGAAAATAGGAATAGGGAACCCATATAGGTCCGGTACCCGTCGGCTGAGAAAGTATCAATAGAACACATTTGTACTTTCTTCAGACGTAGGGTACCATGCCGTTTAAGGTTCAAACAGTGGAGACAAAACACATGCAACACGAACAAGTGCAAGAAAATGAGCATGGACCCAAATCGCCTACTCGAACTGAACTGCCGCTGCGTTTGAGCGAATTGGCTCAAGGCAGAGCCCTTTATGAAACTTACCTTAATTTGGAATAGGTAGTGGAAAGTGTAGGAATAATCAATATAGATGAATCTAGTAGTATTTTAATGAACAAATTAGGCCTGTTCGTTTATGCAAAAGGCTCCAAAACGGTACCTGTTTGAACCAACAACACCAAGAGAAAGTACCCATACTAGGGCCTGGTACCTGTGGACCTGCAAAGTATCATTGTGACTTATAACGCTTTCACAGAACGCACAGGTACCATGCCGTTCTGGATTGGAGGACAAGAAATGAAGAAAAAAGTGCAAAAAAATGAGCAGCCTTGAGCCTACTCGCCGACTATAACAGCTTTGTTATGCGTTGAAGTAACGCGATTTGGCTCTAGGCAGAGCCGGCAGGTTTAGATACTTACCTTAGTATGGAATATCAGATTCTGTGCAGCACAGAAGTGAGTTTTAGAAAAAATACATAGGCTTAAAGGCTGCTAAGCAAAGTGCCACTCGATGTTGGAAACTTCCAACATCAAGATCACCCCATGATTAACAGGCGAATCGCCCTCAAACAGTACCTGTTAGGACAAGGAGCTGGCTAGACACCAGATCGGGGCTCTCTTCTACTTCAAACTATATTTCGGACATGGTATGAAGGAAAACAAAACCCGGACCCGGTGGCCAGCTTTTTAGGGAATATGTAGTTGTAGGAAATAGGAGTATAAGGGGGGGGGGGTAATAGTAGTATTCAATATCTTGAAACTTCAATAGTACAGAATAGAGGACCCATAAAGCCATACTTGGGCCCGGTACCCGTCAACCGAGAAAGTGTGAAAGATGATGCTTAACACTTTCTTCGAGTTAACGGGTACCATGCCGTTTAGGGATGCGACATAAAAAAGTGAAAAAGAAATGAGCAGGCTAATAGCCCTGAGCCAAATCGCGTATCTCAACTGCCTTGTTATGCGTTGAAGTAACACGATTTGGCTCTAGGCAGAGCCGGAAAGATTTGAAGTTATCTGAGTACGGAAAATCAGATTCTGTGCAGCACAAGGTGAATTTTTAAAAAATAGGTAGGCTTAAAGCCTGCTCAGTGATGTACCACTTGATGTTAGGAACTTCGAACATCAAGACACTACATCTCTGAACAGGCAAATCGCCCTTAAACTGTACCTGATAGGCCAAGTAACTGGCAAGGCACCAGATCGGAGCTCCTTTCCTTTTCTACCATTTTTGGGACATGGTAAAGAACGAAAAAAGAAAGGTCAGACCCGATGGTCAGTTTTTTTAGGGAATTTAGTTGTTGAAAACAGAAATAGTGGTAATAGAGGACCCATATGGGCCTGGTGACCAGCAACTGAGAAAGTAGGCCGCTAGGCCCACTGGCTGCATGTAAGGTCCTGGTCCATATGCTTGAAGCCCAAGCATCAAAAGCAGCCACCTACCGTACTCTGCTCTCTTCATCTGCCTTCTAGAGCTCAAAAGAGCCGGTTGCCTAGGAGCAACAGACGAGAAAGAGGAAAAAATTGAGAGACGCAGAGAGAGGGCGGGACGGAGCTAGTTAGGGATTGGTTGCTCAGGTAGAGCCTAGAAGCTTCCTATCGTAGTCATGGGGATTCTTGGCCTAAAATTTGGCCTCACTACAACGTTGATTATCTCATTCACTGTAAAAGATACAGAAAAGTTGTCAACTAAGAAAATGAAGCTCAAATCTTGTTTTATCTAGTCAGCAAGATTCAAAAATTTTGCATAAAAATGAAATAATTTGGTAGGCGTCGCGAAGTTGAATATTTTTTCAGTGGGAAAAATTTCTAATTCTCGGATTCTGGGATCTAGAAATTAAAGATCCGAGCGAAATAGGCTGGTTTATAGTAAAACAAAATAGAAAACAATAATTTGACCTATATAAATCTAGGTTATCCTCTCAAAAAGAGAAAATAAACGTACCTTTTGTTTCCTGAGGATTCCGGTTGATATTCCGTAGACCTTATTGCTCAGCTTGGCTCCAGAAGCTTCTAGGCAACTCCAGGAAAAAAGGGAAAACGGAAAATTTATTGAAATGATATTTTAAACACTGAAAACTTCCTTTTTAAAGAGCAAGAGATGTGGGCGGAGCTTCCGAGGAAAGATAAAGGGGCGGAGCTTTAAATTTTGTTTATGGGTATATGTAGACAGGTCATATGCCACATGACATGATTACTAAGAGATTTTAGATTAAGCTTAGTTCCTGAAATGCACAAAGATTTGAAGGTATACTTGAAAATGGGAGAAACGGACCAGCGACGGACCAACGGCTGTTCAAAATTAGACGAATCATAACTTAGTTAAGATATTCAGGAATTTGTGGTATCAAATGAAAGATCCTGAGAAGCCTAAAAGATAGGGGCTAAGCTGGAATAATAAAGAACATTGATCCTCGTTTTGCTGATTTTAAAAAATACATATAGACCTGAAGATATACTTGAAAATAAGCGAAACGGATCAAGGACGGGCCAACGGCAGGCCAAAAGCGGGCTGACAGATAATTTGGCTTAAAAATAAGATATTCAGGAAGTTATGAAAGATACCAACAAGCCTAAAAGATACGGATCAAGCTGGAATATCAAAACATTATTACTCGTTTTGCTCGTCTTTAAAAATACATATAGACCTGAAGATGTACTTGAAAATAGACAAAACGAACCAGCGACGGACCAACGGCGGGTCAAAATTGGACGACTCATAACTTGGCTCATAGTCAAGATATTTAGGAGGTTGCGGTATTGAATTATAGACCCCAAAAAGCCTAAAAGATTGGGGTTCAGCTAGAATAGAAAAAAAACTGGTTTCGGGTTTTTTTAGGCAAGTTACTGTACTAGACGCCTATCCACATCTTCCTTGGTACCATTTAGATCTTTGGACAATCATAGTATTATCTAGACTTGATGAATTGCTTTGAATCAAACGCAAAGCTATATTTCTACCAATTTCCGTACTTCCAAGATGCGTACGTCTAAAGATACACCGGTTTTCATCAGTCCGGGTAGTTGCCGCCCTGTGGGTCCTTTTTGATAAGTTAACTTTGTGTAGTTTTAGTTGTTTTGGACTTATTCTGAAATCACATGATTTGTTTTGACTTCACTAGACATTTATCATTGTTATCGCCAAAAGCCACCTCAGGAAAAGTGCTAATGAGCTACAGTAGTCCTAGTCGAAAACAATCTCGAAGCTTCTATAGGAAATTCGCACGTCAATGGGAATAGCGCTCTCCGAACAAAGCACACTATTTCATTGTAATTCATCTTCTTCTAGAAGAATCTTTAGGAACCTCACGTGGAGCATTCAGAGATCAATGTTGAATCGGAAAGATCTGGAATCATCAAGGGATAGGAATTCTTACAGATATCGATTTCAGATCAATAATAAAGCGTCAGAGGATGTAGGGTTATGTGGCTGTGTAGGTCAACTGATCCGCGTGGTGTCACTGTGCACACGGTGTTGGTTCAATCTCGAAAATTAGACTTGTGGGCTTCAATAAATTATCGCTTGCCTCGGCTGGACCATACAAATCGTTTAATCTTCCTTCTGCGGCATATAGATGAATGCAATAAAAAGAACACGCATAATTGCTTATTTTTAATTGCTCATGGGAGAAAAGAGAGTCAAAACAGGATTATAGGAAGGTGGCACCTGTACAGTGTTCAAATTTGCTGTGTAGCTCAGTCGTTTATTCAAGGCCCGGACATTGGGATATTCAGAAAACTGAATAAATGCCATTTATATTACAAAGCCTTGTAAAAACAGATTTCAAAAGAAAAATGAATTGGGACAGATGGAATTGCATCCTGCCTTTGAGTCTTCGGACCCTCCTTGCCTCACTGTTCCAAGATGCGCACGTCTAAAGATATATCCGTTTTTATCAGTCCGGGTAGTTGCCACCCTGTGGGTCCTTTTCGATAAGTTAACTTTGTGTTGTTTGATTGTTTCGATGCTAGATATGACTTCTTCGCAAATCGATTTGATTTCTCCAGACATTTATAATTGTTACCGCCAAAAGCCAAACCCGGGAAAATAAGAAAAGTGCTAATGAGCTACCGTAGTCGAAAACAACCTCGAAGATTTTATAAGAAGCATCTCCATGGGAATAGCGCTCTCCGAACAACGCACACTATTTCATTGTAATTCATCTTCTTCTAGAAGAATCTTTAGGAACCTCACGTGGAGCATTCAGAGATCAATGTTGAATCGGAAAGATCTGGAATCAGCAATGGATAGGAATTCTTACAGATATCGGTAAAATTATCAGGACCGGAGGATGTATTACTCTCGTCCGAAATCAATGCACGTTGCGGCCGAAAATTTACTCAAAATCGCATCGTCGGTCGCACAGCGAAAAAAACAAATCGATGCATGCGCCTTTAAATACCGTACCTCGGACGTTTTTTTATTTTGGGCCCTATTTGGCTGTTTTTTTTCTATTTTATAAGAAAAATAAATGAGAGAAAAAGGCTAAAATTCGATAAATGTTGAGGTACTGTATTAAAGGCGCGTGCAATAATTTGAAAAATACAGTAAGGTTCTCTCTGTGGGAGCTAAGCTCCGCCCACCGTTGTTTTCTCGGCCGCAACGTGCATTGATTTCGGACAAGAGTAATAGGGTTACAAGGCGTTGGTTCAATCTCGAAAATTAGACTTGTGGTCTTCAATAAATTATCGTTTGTCTCGGCTGGACCGTACAAATCGTTTAATCTTCCTTCTGCGGCATATAGATGAATGCAATAAAAAGAACACGCATAATTGCTCAAGGGAGAAAAGAGTCAAAGCAGGATTCCCCTGTATAGTGTTATAAGGACACCTGTACAGTGTCTTATAGTAATTGTGAGGGCTCTTGAGAATGAGATTTTCAAAAAGTGGAATAAATTTCATTTATATTACAGGGAAAATACTGGGAAAAAAAATAGATGAAATAGCTTCAATTTAGGAATATTCAGACCCTCCTCGCCTCATTGGGGTCGTTCCATGAACTCTACAAGTTTCCCTATATCATTCTGTTTAGCCAAGACATCATCTCTCCATTTTTCATTCATTCTGAGAAAGTCTTCCTTCTGCTCCAAAGCCAATTTCACATCTTCCAATCTTGCAGATAATTCTTGTTGGCGATTCGCTCATCGTTTCGAGCTCCGTCTTTTTTGATTTCCATCTCCGCTATATCCATATCAAGCTCTTGAATCTTTGCCTCATACCCGCTTCGGATAGAATGTCCAAGCTTCCCATGACTTTACAGTAGTGAAGATTGCATTCATATGCTTGTTGATGGTAGAAGATGAAGATGTAGACATTTTAAGAAAAGGGTGGTCCAGTTGGAAAGAAACTAGTCCAAAATTAAGAATTTCGGGTGTAGTATTATGTTCCTTTCTCCGATGATATACGTCTTTTAATCCCTTTCTCTCTTGCTTTCATTTGTAGAATCTCTGAGCAATTACCTGAGTTCTTTTGGAGTAACCTTTGGAGTTGGAATGTTAAAATGGGAAATGTTGCAAGATGAAACACATTACAGAAGTGCCGAATTCAGGAAGGGGTCATCTGGGTCTTTAAAATATCAATGAATGGCCAAAGAGGATAAGATATCATGGTCTAGTCATAGTATCTGAAACTTTTCCAAAATTTTATTTGTTGGAGGAGTTGAACTTGGGCTCTATCGGGTGAGCTACACGGTCACATCCATCCTCTGATCCTGAATTTTTGATCATTCAAGATTCAAAAATCGATATCTGTTGATAATTCCCATTCTCTGCTGATTCCGGAATTTTCGAATTGAACTTCTGGAACCAACCGTGATCTCTGAATGCTCCACGTGAGTTTCCTAAAGATTCTTCTAGAAGAAGATGAATCAAAACGAAATAGTGTGCGTTGTTCGGAGGGCGCTATTCCCATGGAGATGCTTGACCATTGACGTCTGCCTATGGCGATAACAATGACTGGAGAAGTCATATGAGTTTGGGATCATAACAGTGATAAATGTCTGGAGGAGTTTGATTTCAAGATGTTGAGGTATTGATGAGCCCTGAAAAGAAGACAGGGAAGCATCTGAAAATAGCATAGTGTGAAAAAGCTGAACCTGAAGTCATATCCTTGGAGGTAAGGCTCAGCTACTGAAAATGGGGTGCTGTAGATGGAAATGCACATCATAATCTGAAAAAGTGGGACCTTCTGGAAATTCTTGATCGACCCTTTAAACTAGCTACTTTCAAAATCACTCTTTGAAGCTTATATTTGTATATCATTTTGTTTGTCTTATATGATCCTTGTCTTACTATGCTTCATTATTTCCACCTTCTGACTTGTTGATTCTTCCCTACACCTTCCTCCTGGAGATTAATTACCTTCCCCAAACGTACACTCCTCAGAAAATGATCCTAGGATTAAAATCTCCCTGGAACCCCCAATTTGGAGTTGTATCCTCTCCTGTGTAGAATCTGTACTAATTAGAAATCTACCCCTCAATTTGGAGCCTCTTTCTTCATCTAGCTGAACGTGTGCACTATATAGAAGAATCCAGAAGAGTCGGTGGAGAAGCTTCAGAAACCTTGAAAAGTAAAAGGGACCAACTTAAGGAAATCTTGGAAACATGGGGCTTAGTCTATGGGGCATAGTTGAGCAACAGGGATATAGAAAAACGCTAGGATCTGAAAATAGCTTTAGACTTTACATAATATTTAAATTTACTTTTATTACCGTATCATCTGGTTACCGTATAACCTAGTTACCGTACCACCTAGTTACCGTATAACCTAGTTACCGTACCACCTAGTTACCGTACCACCTAGTTACCGTAAAACCTAGTTACCGTATAACCTAGTTACCGTATAACCTAGTTACCGTATAACCTAGTTACCGTACCACCTAGTTACCGTATAACCTAGTTACCGTACCACCTAGTTACCGTACCACCTAGTTACCGTATAACCTAGTTACCGTATAACCTAGTTACCGTACCACCTAGTTACCGTACCACCTAGTTACCGTATAACCTAGTTACCGTATAACCTAGTTACCGTATAACCTAGTTACCGTACCACCTAGTTACCGTACCACCTAGTTAACGTACCACCTAGTTACCGTATAACCTAGTTACCGTATCACCTAGTTACCGTATCATTTAGTTACTGTATCACAAAGTTTTAGTGATAAAAATTGCTCTGTGACCATTTTCGGAGTCCTGAGCAATTATACAGCGACTCTCTCTTCCTATCCAGACATCTGCGACACGGTGGGTGGCGGATAATTAGGCTTGTGCAGTGATCTCCCCCTTTTTTCAAATCTAGACCTGTCCCTTTGAAAACAGATTATACAGTAATCCAGGCTTTTCTCAAAGCAACAGGTGTGGGTGGCCTCAAACCGTTTTGTCTTGCACATTGGGTGTCTTCTTTGATCGCCTAATTGCTTAATAGATGTCTCTCATAAAGGTGCATCTAATTGGTGTATCCATCTGGAGTCAAAATAAAAAAAAACTGGTCATTCAAAAGAACAGGGATCATTGGTAATTTCTTGATGTTGCGAAATCAACTGGAATTTTATGTCAAAGTGATAGTGAGCTCGTAATTTTCGGAACTATTGCAAAATACATATGACGTGATACAATGAGCCTATAAATAGATGAGTTAGAAAGTTTTCGTTATCACTGACATACAGATGTCTCGCTCCAAGTGTGCTAACCGTGCTCCAGCAAGAAACAGGTTGAAGCGAACTTCGTATTTGTATGTGAAAGGCGCTGAAAGTGAACATGTGGCAATGAAAGAAAACGCGGGAACGGTCCTTCTGAAGCAAAAAAAGAAGAAAACGCCAGCGGAAAGCAGTGTGTTCGTTAACCGTTGTCATCTAGCCGAAGTCAATGAAGTTGAAGAAGATGCAGAAGACACCCTATCGATTACTGACTATGGCTATTCCGGAAATTAATTTCTTCCTTCTAAATTTCTCTTCTCACCCACTATCATCTCAATAACCCACTATGATCTCAATAAAAGAAGTTTAAATAGAATTTAATAAAAACTCATTGAAAACTCTACATATTTTTATACATACCTTGCAAACAATTGTTTCCGTTCGATTCTGCTCCCTCAGTCTCGAGTTTCGGTTTTCTTCCATCACAATTTTTTTTCATTTTTCAATTTAAAATTCACTTCTCATGATTTCTTTTCCATTCACATCATCATCATCATCATCTCCTTTTTTTATCCTCCCCTCCTTTTTCTTTTTTGAATTCTGCAATTCCTAATTACCAGATGTATAAACACAAATGAATGAGGGACACCACCCAAGTGGCTGAATCATCGAGTGAGAAATTCGCCATTTATCTTATATTCGATCTTTTTAATGAGGTCAGGCTGGAGAGGTAATAAGCTGTGTAATTTGGAGAATGCGAAAATCATATTGGAGGAAAAATGCAAAAAAAAAATCTTAAAGGAGGCGAGACAGCAAAAATTTCGGGGGCAGTTCGGGGGACGAAATCGCGCCGCACTTATGTAGACCATTATGTAGATCAATTCTGAAATTTCCGAACGTCTGGAATTCTGAAACTCCGAGACCTTGAAACTCTTAGATTATGAACATTTAAGAGTATCTGAAATTTTGAAATACTGAAACTCCTAAAATTCTGAAATTCAAAAATTCTGAAATTCTGAAATTCTGAAATTCTGAAATTCTGAAATTCTGAAATTCTGAAACCCTGAAATTCCGAAACTCTGAAATTCTAAATTTCTAAAATTCTGTAATTCTGAAATCAGGAAATTCTGAAGTTCAGAGATTCGGAGATTTCGAAATTCTGAAATTTGGAGACTATGAAATTCTGAAATTCAGAAATTCTGTAATTCTGAAATCAGGAAATTCTGAAGTTCTGATGTTCTGATATTCTGAGCGTTTGGAGTTCTGAAAATCTGAAATTCTAGGATTCTGAGATTTCGAAATTCCGAACTCCCGAATTTCTGGAATACTGAAATTCGGAGATTTTGATATTCTGAAATTCTGCATTCTGAGATTCTGTGATTCTCGACGTCCCCCAAAAAGTGTCCCCAATTGCTTCTTTGAATACCCGCTTCGGATCGCTTCGGATCTCATACCCGCTTCGGATAGAATCATCTGGAGTCATTGTCCAAGAAATTTGGTAAATGGTCCGGGGTATGTAATGGGACATTAGAAAAACTCTGATAACTTCCATGTAAACTGATAAGAGGGTAGGAAGAAGAATAAATGAAGAGGTAATTGAGAAGAACGATAAGAATCAATTTAATGATCAATGCATGAGTTTTGTACACAAGCGAAAAATTTTACGACTTTTTAAACAATTGTTTGCAAGGTATGTATAAAAATATGTAGAGTTTTCAATGAGTTTTTATTAAATTCTATTTAAACTTCTTTTATTGAGATCATAGTGGGTTATTGAGATGATAGTGGGTGAGAAGAGAAATTTAGAAGGAAGAAATTAATTTCCGGAATAGCCATAGTCAGTAATCGATAGGGTGTCTTCTGCATCTTCTTCAACTTCATTGACTTCGGCTAGATGACAACGGTTAACGAACACACTGCTTTCCGCTGGCGTTTTCTTCTTTTTTTGCTTCAGAAGGACCGTTCCCGCGTTTTCTTTCATTGCCACATGTTCACTTTCAGCGCCTTTCACATACAAATACGAAGTTCGCTTCAACCTGTTTCTTGCTGGAGCACGGTTAGCACACTTGGAGCGAGACATCTGTATGTCAGTGATAACGAAAACTTTCTAACTCATCTATTTATAGGCTCATTGTATCACGTCATATGTATTTTGCAATAGTTCCGAAAATTACGAGCTCACTATCACTTTGACATAAAATTCCAGTTGATTTCGCAACATCAAGAAATTACCAATGATCCCTGTTCTTTTGAATGACCAGTTTTTTTTTATTTTGACTCCAGATGGATACACCAATTAGATGCACCTTTATGAGAGACATCTATTAAGCAATTAGGCGATCAAAGAAGACACCCAATGTGCAAGACAAAACGGTTGAGGCCACCCACACCTGTTGCTTTGAGAAAAGCCTGGATTACTGTATAATCTGTTTTCAAAGGGACAGGTCTAGATTTGAAAAAAGGGGGAGATCACTGCACAAGCCTAATTATCCGCCACCCACCGTGTCGCAGATGTCTGGATAGGAAGAGAGAGTCGCTGTATAATTGCTCAGGACTCCGAAAATGGTCACAGAGCAATTTTTATCACTAAAACTTTGTGATACAGTAACTAAATGATACGGTAACTAGGTGATACGGTAACTAGGTTATACGGTAACTAGGTGGTACGTTAACTAGGTGGTACGGTAACTAGGTGGTACGGTAACTAGGTTATACGGTAACTAGGTTATACGGTAACTAGGTTATACGGTAACTAGGTGGTACGGTAACTAGGTGGTACGGTAACTAGGTTATACGGTAACTAGGTGGTACGGTAACTAGGTTATACGGTAACCAGATGATACGGTAATTAAAGTAAATTTAAATATTATGTAAAGTCTAAAGCTATTTTCAGATCCTAGCGTTTTTCTATATCCCTGTTGCTCAACTATGCCCCATAGACTAAGCCCCATGTTTCCAAGATTTCCTTAAGTTGGTCCCTTTTACTTTTCAAGGTTTCTGAAGCTTCTCCACCGACTCTTCTGGATTCTTCTATATAGTGCACACGTTCAGCTAGATGAAGAAAGAGGCTCCAAATTGAGGGGTAGATTTCTAACACTAATTGGCCGATAATATTGACCCCAACTTTGTAGCCGCTCTGTTAAACAACTCTGTGAACTATTTGAAGAACATTTCAAATTTTATAACTGTTTTTTTTTATAATTCAAAAATTTTAAGTTTGAAGGGGGTTATGAGCCCTTTGCAAAGTTCTGAACGGCTGTGGCTCCATAGCGAGGACATGTACCGTTGTTCAAAACGTTTTTTGGAAAAAATACCATCATTGAATAAAATTTGAATGTTATATAATTTTGAAGTGCTGTTTGAATCCTATATTTCATTTTTTAAAACATTCAAAAATGTTAAGTTTGAAGGGAGTTATGCGTATTTTGGTAACTCGGTCCCTTTTCCTTTCCCAATAGAGGTCTAACTGAGTAGCGCCTTCTGTGAGACTTCCCGTAGATCAAAACTAATAGCGTCGTATTTTATTTTGTAGCCCTTTTCAGGATCTCTATTTCACATTTTAGTATAGTTGAATATCTTATATTTGAAGGGAGTTACGAGTCGCTCATTAAACCCATGGTCCCCTTCCCCTCCGATTTGTTATACCTATAATTATCCCTGCACATTCCCTAATTGCGCTGCTGCTTCTCACGTCTTCTAAATGTCTTCTAATGATCTTAAGGATCCATAAAGGACAGGTGACAAACCGACAGTGGGAGGATTATGAGGAACCTTTGGCATAGTCATTTATTCCTAATTGGGCGGAAAGGGAGCAAAACAGGCAGGCATAGAGGTAAAAAAGGACAGATGAGCGTAAAAGAAGATGAGGCAGTTGTCTTTTTTTTTGCCTTGTCGTCTAATTTATACCTATAAATAGGACATTTTCCTGTTAAAAAAAAAAGAAATTCAGCTTTTAACTTTATCTGTCAAGTTACCTTTCAAGTACCGTAAACACGCCAATAGAACCCCCTCCCCCTCTCTCTCTCTCTCTCTCGAAACCATCCACTTTGAACCCATTTATCTCGGTTTCTGTGAGAGTTATCAAAAAGTAATCAACTGATAAAATTTTGGGGAGATTATGACAAACGTTTTATCAGTGGACCATTTTTTGATATTTCTAAAAAGAACTGAGATAATAAACTTTAAATTGCGCGCGGTTCGATCGGTGCTACAAGTTGCGTCACCACCATACTTGTATAGTTTGCGTTTAAGTATCTCGCTTCCCATTAGAGATATCAAAAAGTGGTCAACTGATAAAAATTTGCTGATAAGATGATAAACATTTTATCAGTTGACAACTTTTTGATATCTCTAACAGGAACCTAGATAAATTCAAAGTTGGCGGCGTGATCAAGGTGCCGCACCCTCCCCCCCCCCCTCTATTGCGTTTAACCTAATTTTCTTGGTTCCTGTGAAAGATGTCAAAAATTGGCTAACTATTAACCTGTTGCTGATATTATGATAAACATTTTATCTGTTGACATGTTTTTTATCTTTCACAGGAAACGAGATAAATTGACTCAAAGTTAAAATGTTGGGGTGGTGTTCTATGAGAGTTCTCTTTCGATTTTTCTATTTTTAATCAGCTCTAAAATCCTGGATTTTGCAGAAATAATGTATCCAATCCTTCCACTCCCCTCCCTGCTAGGATCCCTCACCATCGAGGAGATTCATCATGGAGCCGGTATGTGTTTTTAATTATTGTAGTTCCAATAGTCCGCAAACACCAAATTTTCCATTTCGCAAGTTCAAACTAATTTAGCTATGAAAAAAGCGTTAATACTGTCTAAAATGACTGTTTTCATACAAACTATTTTTCAGACCACGGAAGACTTGAAGGGAGCCTCCTGGGAGATGCTCCTGAACAGCAAGGAGGAGGACAACCATATGCTGGTCTCCTAGCCCTGAGGGATCAGAGATGTCCTCTAGTCCCAAAAGCCGAGAATCCATCAGAAGATAAAATCGACGGCGAAAATGTTCAGAAGGCTCCAGAAGTGGATTCGGCAGAAAAACTGGAGATTGAAGATGATCCAGAAGCGAAAAAAGAAGATGATGGATATGATCTTCTAGATGAAATAAAAACCGAGGAGATCATTGAGGAAGAGTCATTTGTGGTGCTTTTCAATAAAACAATCACGTTTCCAAAGTAGAGAATGCAATTTTCCGATCCTGAAAAACCTAAAACATTTTTTGCTGCGTTTTTTTGATCTTTTTGTCCCAAAGTTCCTTTTTTTTCTATCTCAAAAACGATCCTCAAAAATGTTGTTTGTGTTTTTTCTTGGAAATTTTTTTTGTATGTAACTTTCAGAATTTCTTTTTCAAAACTGCTCAAAATCATCCTAATTTCCTTATCACTTATTTTCAATGTATTTTTTGAAATTCTAGATTTTCCTACTATTCCTTTGAATTCTTTTCATCTCACCTTCTCCCTCTCCTCTTCATCCAATCACACCCACATATACCCCGCCCCTGCTAATTAACGCTGATTATCTAGTTTTCTGTAAAAGCTACCAAAAAGTTGTTAACTAATAAAATGTGTGAAATTTCATTTTACACATTTTACTGGCTCACAATTTTTCGGTGTGTTTTACCAGAACCAAGATAAATCGCATTGAAAAGACTAGCTGTGCGCCTCAGGGTGCTGGCTATGGCGCATTACACTTTACACCTCTTTACCTCGTTTCCTGTATGACATACAAAAAAGTTGTTAACTGAGAAAATGTGTAGAATTTCATTTTACACATTTTAACAATTGACGAATTTTGTTTATCTTTCAAGAGAACCAAGATAAATAGTTTTGAAAAAAACTATACTTATGATGTAAGCACATTCACTTCATCCCTCATTATCTCTTTTCCTGTAACCCACTTTTTGTACCCCAAAGAGTACAAATACACTCCAAAGTACACAAAACTCATATTCTTCATTAAATAAACCTTTTTGATCACAAAAAGTCAATGTAGTGTATTCCAATCGGGCTACACAGACGCATTACTGTCTGCGTCTCTTCTCTCTCGCCCTTTTCTAATTGATAAGACACAAACTAGGCTACAGCATAGTCTGATACTCATTATTTATAGGTCTACACTGTATTATAAGAAAATTCTCGAAGTTATAATCTTAACTTATTTTTTGCTTAAAAATGGTCCGCGAATGGAGGCGACTGAAGAAGATCGACGATCTCACCTATATGTAAGTTTTTAATTTTTTTTTTCAAAATTTCAAATTCCCGCCAAATCACCTCCAAAAATTCAAATTTCAGTGGAGAATGTGATTCTGAGCATCCGGCCGCCCGAGTTTTTGGAGGCCATGTTTTGGCTCAAGCCATGTCTGCAGCATATTATACGGCACCAGAGGGATTCTACGTGCACGCGGTGCATTGTTATTTTATTCGAGGAGGTAATTTTTAGAAAATAGAAAAAAATCCAAAAATTTGAGCCAAAAATCATCGAAAATGG